GCTGCCCCCTCTGCCCCTCCCCCTGCTGGTGCTCGAGCTCCCTTGGGCACTCTCTCTCCCTCTCAAATAAATCAATCTTTAAAAACAACAAAAACAACAACAAATCTTTAAAATCTTAAAAAAAAAAAAAAGAACATACAAGACAAAGGGTGAACCTTAAGGTAAACTATGGGCTCTGGTTGATAATAATGGGTCAATGTTGGTTCATCGGTTACAACGAATACACCAAGCTAGCAGGGGTATGGTCGGGGAGAGATTATGTGGGAAGTGTCTGTATCTTCTCCTCAATTTTGCTGTAAACCTAAAATTGCTCTAAGAAACAGTCAATGAGGGTGGCTCAGTTGGTTAAGTGTCTACCTTCGACTCAGGTCATGATCCCAGAGTCCCACAGTCTCAGGACTGAACCCCGCATAAAGCTCCCCACAGTGGGGAGCCTGCTTCTCCCTGACCCTCCCCCTTCTTGTTTTCTCTCTCTCTAATAAATCAAAAAATTACCATACTGTTCTTACTTTTGTATTTTCACAGATTCATAAAAATGTTGTAATAATGCAGAGTAAACTGTTAGTTTTCCTCTTAAAAATGAAGAAATCAAGTTATGCTTAAGCGAATTATCTTTTAAGGTCTTTAGGTGGCAACATCTGTCATGTTATGACAAATCAGTATGCCAGAGTGTGCAAACAAAAACACTAATTAAAATTTTTACATTTGTTCAATTAATAGTTTTAGGGGGGTGCCTGGCTGGCTCAGTTGTTAAGCATCTGCCTTCGACTCAGGTCATGATCCCAGGGTCCTGGGACTGAGCCCCGCATCGGGCCCCCTGCTCGGCAGGAAGACTGCTTCTCCCTCTCCCACCTCCCCTGCTTGTGTTCCTTCTCTCACTGTCTCTTTCTCTCTCTCTCTGTCGAATAAATAAATAAAATCTAAAAAAAAAAAAAAAAAAAATTAACAGTTTTAGAACACAAACTCCTGTACTACATTTCTATTTAATATCTATGCCATATTTTTATAGTTGACAAACAAGCATTTTGTGTATACCCTAAGTGCATACGACTACAGAGAAAAATAGAAGGACATATCTGCAATATACATAAACTAGACCTGGCACACAATGCGAGCTCAATAACTTTGCTGAAACGTCCTAGTGTGCCACATAATGGTAGACAAAGAATTACAAGTCAAATTCCATTTCTACAAAAATGGTAAGACGACAATATAATACAATGGTTACAAGAATGGTAGTAAAACCACAAGCTTTGGATTCAAACTGGGGTTCAAATCTCAACTGTAACACTTCATAGGTGAGTGACCTTGACAAAGTTATTTCACCTAAGTTTATCTCCTCATCTGTAAAATAGGAACAATACCTGCCTCATAAGGTTGTAGTGCTAATTAAATGGAAGTTATAATTTTTATATAACGTGAATTGCCAAAATCACAAAAACAGTCCATTTTTTCCAAGTCCTAGACCAAATTAATCCAAATCTCTGGAGGATGAGGCAGAGGCCTGCATATTTTCAAAAGTTTTACAAGTGATTCTGAGTAGCATTCTCATTTAGGAATCACTGTCCTAGAGCCTCACTACTAAAGCTTTACCTGAGCCCCAGGTTAAGTTAACAACATGAAGATAAAAGCATTAAGACATGATCCTCTGGTTTAGTTCCACGTTTCTAAGACAGATCTTTACCCAAAATTCCTTTTACAGAGAACAGAACCATACTGCAAAATTCCAATTTAAAATCCTTTCCAAGGGCGCCTGGCTGGCTTAGTTGGTAGAGCATGCAACTCTTGATCTCAGGGTCATGAGGTCAAGCCCCAAGTTGGGTGTGAAGCCTACTTAAAATAAAAAAATAAAAATCCTTTCCAAAGCCAGGGAAAATAGGATTCCATATTGAAATTTTACATCAAAATTGGGTATACCCTAACCTCTTCATATTCATTATTAAACAGTTCTAATACTGAATATTTTTAATATTTTACTTATTTATTTGACAGAGAGAGAGAGAGAAAGCGTGCGCACAAGCAGGGGGAGCAGGCAGAGGGAGAGAAGCAGGCTCCCTACCGAGTAAGGAGCCCGATGTGGGACTCGATCCCAGGACCCTGGGATCATGACCTGAGCCAAAGGCAGACGCTTAACTGACTGAGCCACCCAGGCGCCCAATACTGAATATTTCTGAGTCACTGTTCATCTACACATCAACAGTAACCCAAGGCTGTATACAATAATATTTAAGCTTTCTTATTTGTCATCATTCTTAAAAATAAGTTTAAGTTTACAGTTAAGATCCACTGACACTTCACTTAAACCCTAATAAATTTTTTATTTGACACATATATTTTCCTTAAGATTTTATTTTTTTTAAATAATCTCTACACCCAATGTGGGGATCGAACTTACAACCTGGAGATCAAGAGCTGCATGCTCTACCAACTGAGCCAGCCAGGCGCCCCTTGACACATCATTTTTAAATGTGCATCTCACAAGCAATCTTATTAAAGACTGAAGGTACCTAAAGCAAATTCAATATTCCAGAAACAAACCTGAAACCCTATTAACTAAGTACCCCAATAAAATATTTTAGAGAAATACGTAGAAAACATACAAACAGAATCATGAACATTCCATTTCAAAGAATCAGCATGAAATAATGAAAATCCCTGGAAAAAAGTAAGAGTCTAGAAATACTGTAGAACTTGTTAAAAATAAGCAAACAAAAAAAGCTTAGAACAGCTTTATCAGAACTAATATGCCAATAGCAGATCAACTGGAAAGCAAACAAGCAAAAGGAATCTTCCTTAAAAGATTTCACTGTTAATCGCAGAGAGAACTATAAGGGAAAGAAGGGGCTAAGGCAGACATACAGACCTCATTAATGTATAGATTTTAATTTAGACACAAGACATTTTCTCAGATACTTAAATTAGTGAAGCTTATAAATGACTAATTCATTGTTAACGTGCAAAGTGTTAAAATCCAAGCTATCATACAACAGTGCAAAGGTCGTAAGACACTATTATGCAGGGTCTGGTAAGGTATTATTTACTTAGTACAAGACTCAGTGCATGTATAAATGCAATTTTTTAAAAATAACTGTCTTACTATCTTCATTCACACAGAATATTAAGTTTGCAACATGGTGTAGTAAAAAGTTATCAACAGAACTCTATAAATCCCAGATATTTTAAAACAGACTATACACAAGTTAAAAGAAACAATACACAATTCTGATACAAGCTTTTTGAAAGTTATATTTTTAAAAAAAGTCCAACAGTGGGGCACCTGGGTGGCTCAGGCGGTTGAGTGTCTGCCTTTGGCTCAGGTCATGATCCCAGAGTCCTGGGATCAAGCCCTGCATCGGGCTCCTTGCTCAGTGGGGAGTCTGCTTCTCCCTCTCCCTCTGCCCTGCTCATGCTTTCTCTCTAATAAATTTTAAAAAATAAAAAAATAGGGCGCCTGGGTGGCTTAGTCGTTGGGCGTCTGCCTTTGGCTCAGGTCGTGATCCTAGGGTCCTGGGATGGAGTCCCGCATCAGGCTCCCTGCTCAGTGGGAGGCCTGCTTCTCCCTCTCCCACTCCCCCTGCCTGTGTTCCCTCTCTCGCTGTCTCTGTCAAATAAATAAAATCTTAAAAAAATAAAAATAAAAAAATAAATAAAAGTCCAATAGTATATCAAAGCACAATTCTAAAACACTGAATTGACTAACGGGATAATTTATAATTAATTTTTTTGAAGACTTAAGTGTCAAGATATATAAACATCCTTACTTTTTAAAAGTTTAGCTTCACCAACTTTGTAGAATCAAATAAAAGTTTCCTAATTCAAAATTAAACTAAAGTATATATATTTGAGGGGTGCCTGGGTGGCTCAGTCGTTAAGCGACTGCCTTTGGCTCAGGTCATGGTCTCCGCAGGAAGCCCGCTTCTCCCCCTCTCCCACTCCCGGAGCTTGTGTTCCCGCTCTTGCTGTGTCTCTCTCTGCTAAATAAATAAAATCTTTTTTAAATAAGGTATATATTTGCTTGAAGACACCCCAAGTTAATCCAATCTTCCTTCTTGCAACACTATTTTCCCAATTACTCACCATAGGCATATATGACATACATATATCAGCGAACACTATTGCTTACATTCTAAATATATACCAGTGTGAAGAACAGGTGGGACACTATTTGGATGCATGCTCTTGTCTTCTAAGCCTAAATTTGCCCTGGAAAGGGATTTAAAAATAAACACAAATACCCAAGAGTTGAACAATCCTCTTAAAAAGATGTAGCCATTCTGAAATCCAAGATATGAGCTCTTCAACTACCAACACCTTCCAAAAGTTAGGTAAATCAGCTTATCAAAGTTTCACCTTAAAAAGATCAAATAAGGCCCAATTATGAAGGGTTCTGAGGATATTTAACTTTGCTTCCCGAGTCAGTAACGTGAGACAACTACGTTTTACTTCAAGCTAATGTGAAATCTTTCCTCAGTCGTTTCATAAATACAGCACAGATACTCTGGTTTAGCCTTTTACGGATAAAGAAAGGGCTGGAAGCCCAGTAAAGGGTACTCTAAAAAGAAAATTTCAATTTAGAGAAGCACTGATGAGTCAGTCGCTTAGGAAGAACTGAAAGAGAACCTAAGTGACTAAGGCAGCATCCCAGGTAAGAAGGTACTTAAAGTTGGCGGCAGGAAGTGAAAACTTCACAAGCGAGCAGCAAGACATTATGCTTGGTAGCAGCCCTGGAAAGAAGCGTGGCTGTCAAGGGGCAAGTGCGTACCAACTCCGAGAGAGGTGGCCAAAAATGCCAAATCGGATGGGGGGGGTGATGAGGGAAAACGTAATAAAATGCCCATCCCAGACCCTCTCCTCTGGCTCTCCATCTCAACAGGCACAATCAAAAGTAGGCTTAATGCCCAATAACCCCACGCCGGACGCTCCCACAGAGAGTTTAGCCCCAAGCCCGGGAGGCCCAGCAGGCCGCCTCCAGAGGAGCCCCCGCAGACGCCATACTAAAAGTCAAAATGGCTGCCCCAAGGAAGCCCGCACCGCGCAGCTACTAAGGGTTGGGGAACAAGCTTCTGCGGGAAAGGGGGAGGGGGGCTCACGGAAGAGCCGTCGCCAGAACCGCAGGCAGGACTATCGCCCCCAGAGCTGCACAGGTAGGTTCCCCTCGGCCCTCAAGGCCCGGGGCTCCGACAGAGGGGAGTCCCGGCCCCACCCCCCCGGCCGGGAACCCTGTCGCCGCAGCTGTCCCGCACACCGACCCCAGCGAGGTACCTGCAGTTCGGCCCGCTCCACCTCCCAGTGCGCCCGCTCCATCTCGAACCGAGCCCACTCGTGCTGGATGTAGTGCAGGATCCCCGGGATAGTGTACTGCTGTGGCCGGGACAGCTCCGGGCCTGCTGCGGGACCCGCTCCCTCGGCGGCTGGAGGACCCCCGCCGCCCGCCGCTCCATTCCCCCCTGGCGAAAGGCTCATGTTCCCCCCAGGTCCCTGCTGCTGCCTTGGAGGGGCCGCCATCCCCGGGCCTCCACCACCGCCTCCGGCGAGCTCGTCCATTGTGTGTGGGGCCCCGGCCGGGGCGCAGGGCGAGAAGCCGACGGCTGGGGGAAGGGCCGGGGAGGGTGGCCCCGCGCTGGCGGCGGGGCGAAGGCCGGCAGGAAGAGGGGCGACGAGGGGGTCGTTGCTGTATGCTTGCCGTGGGTCAGAGCAGGGAGCTGCCGGTCGCCGCCATTACAGTCCCTCCTCCATCTGCCCGTCTCACTCACTCACTTTAGGGAAGGGGGGGCCGCGTTGGGATGGGGGGGAAGGGGGCAGGGTTGGGAAGGGGATAGACGTAGGGCCGTCACTCCCGCGCAGCATGCCGGGTAGAGAACGCCGCTGCCGCCGCACGCCTAGCAGCCAAATAGAGTGCGGCCTCACCATACGCAGGCGTACTGAGGACTCAGTAAGGGTACTTGAGGCGGGGTTGGCTTTCTGGCCCCGCCCCTAGGCCCTCCTTCCAACTTGCTCCGGGTGTCTCGCTGCGGTTACTGGACCGTGGCCCACCGACTCTTAACTTTTGGGAGCCGGTCGGTCTTTAGCTCCCAACAATCAGTTTTCCTTGCTCAGTCACCAACCCCACGAACGCCGTTCCCCACGCAAGGGTCTCAGCAGCATGCCTCCCTTCTGAGCTGTTTTAACCAGGCTGGGCGCTCCGGCCGGCCGCAGCCGGTCCCGGATTCCTGACGTTTCTTTCGCATTCCTTGCGTGTTTCAGGATGTCCCAGAGGGTCGGGCCTCTTTCTCTGCTTGTCACTCGCTCTTTCGCTGGTTTCTTAGCACGAGTCAACTCCTGAGGCTTTGGGGATGTTCTCTTTTGGCATATTGCCCAGATCCTTCCGGACATTGGTGGCTGATCCCCGGTCTCCGTTTCAAGCCCGGACTTCGGTCCTAATTCTGTGCTCTCCGTTGCCGGTCTCAGCTTGTTCCACTTTGCCTCCCCTATTCTTTACTCTTCTGGGGTGGGTTGTTTGTGGGGGGGGGGCAGGTGGAGCAGGAGTGAATGTTTTCATTTTTTCTTGGGAAAAGGGAAAGTGAAAAACTTTAGATCTTGGCAGTGGTGCGAAGAGAGAAAGATACCTTTGAAGGAGACTTGTTAGACTAACAATTCGGTGTTTTAGAATGAATGGGCTCACAAATAGGATTCATAGCAGAATCTTTTGATGGAAACAGAAAATAAAAGCATCGTGAATACAACGTAAAATCCTAGATGAACAGCTGCAAAGATGTTTTCCTGGGTCATTAAATGGTGTTTGAATGAATATAACATACACCTAAAAGACACGTTTAATCTTTTAAGTACCATAGTGTGTGTTCTTATGTGCTTAGGTTGCCAAGAAACATTCTTTTTTATATATATATATTTTTTAAGATTTTATTTGTTTATTCATGAGAGACAGAGGGGGGGGAGAGAGAGAGAGAGAAGCAGAGGGAGAAACAGGCTCCCAAGGAGCAGGGAGCCCGATGTGGGACTCGATCCCAGGACCCCAGGATCGTGACCTGAGCCGAAGGCAGATGCTTAACCATCTGAGCCACCCAGGCGCCCTAGGTTGCCAAGAAACATTCTTAATGAACTAGTACGTTTCTAAAGAAAGTTAATATAGCTAATAACCACTTGTTTGAAAAATAGGACAAAAATGTTTAACAATATAATAAGGAAAAAAGGTTCAATAATTACAGCCATGCAGGAAAATTGCACATATAATTGATTGCATTAATTTTTTTTCTTCTCTACTACCAATAAAGTTTTCACTATGTGATATACAAGACCACTCAAGGTATAATTTCAAAAAGATAAAAATAGTACATCTTATTTTAACATGTCTGCTTTACTATTATTATGTTTAATGGAGAGCAGATTGGACGTGTTACCCATGCTGCCATATTTTATTTGTATATGAAATGAGATCTTAGGTCACATATTATTAGGAACTGTTTCTCCATATTATTAAGTACTCTTTTTCCATTTTGTTTATTTTTTTTAAGATTTTTATTTATTTATTTGACAGAGAGAGACACACACAGCAAGAGAGGGAACACAAGCAGGGGGAGTGGGAGATGGAGAGGCAGGCTTCCCGCGGAGCAGGGAGCCGGATGTGGGGCTCGATCCCAGGACCCTGGGATCATGACTTGAGCCGAAGCCAGAGGCTTAACGACTGAGCCACCCAGGTGCCCCCTATTTTTCCATTTTATACTGACCAACATACAACCTGCTTTAAACCCTTTTAAGGGGCCTCATAGCACATAAAAAGTTCCAAAATGTGTCTCCAAGAAACATGTTTGAGCAGGTGTAATTGATCTCTGTTATGTTGGCATCAAAAGAAGAAGAACATGTGTACTTATATTTCCCACTGGTACCTCAAGCTCAAGTAAAACTAGATTGATAATCCTTCTATTTTCCTCCCCACCCACCTTCAAAAAAAGGTGCTGTTTCTCTTCTATTACCTATCTTATTAAGCAGCACTACATCCAGACCTGAGAGCTGGCAGTCATTGTAGTACCTGCCTTTCAGTCACCCCCACATCCAATCCCTTTCTCAGTACATATTTCATTTCTGTTCCTTACCTATAACATATCTATTCCATTACCTTTATTGTTGTGTTAGTTTAAACCTTCCCCCCTTACTTGTTCCCCCACCTCCTGCTACCACTGATGCCAGAGTGATCTTCAAAAGGCAGATCTGATTCTATTGTTCCTTGCTTAAAATATTTTAGTGATGGGAGGCCTGGGTGGCCCAGTCAGTTAAACGTTCAACTCTTGGTTTGGGCTCAGGTCATGATCTCAGGGTCATGAGATTTAGCCCATGTGGAGCTCTGCACACTGTACAGAGTCTGCTGGAGATTGTCTCTCCCTCTGTGCCTCCACCTATGTGTTCTCTCTCCCTCTCTCTAATAAATTAATCTTTAAAAAAATATTTTGGTGATCACCAGATTTAGAATAAAGCCCCAATTTTAGCATAGCATATAAAGATCCTTCACATTCTAGATCCTCCCTATCGCCTAGTCTACCATCACACCAATATGGCATCCATTCTTCTCTCCAGGCAAGCTGCACTGATTTTGGTTCCTCAAGAGCATAATGCTGTTTCATTTCATGAGAATTTAGCACATGCTCTACCCCATTGGCTTTCCTTCCCTTCTTCATTCAAAACTCAGTTTGAGTATTCTCTGCCTTCGACTCGGGTCATGATCCCAGGGTCTTGGGATCAAGCCCTACATCAGGCTCCCTGCTCAGTGAGGAGCCTGCTTTTCCCTCTCCTTCTGCCTCTCTCTCTCTCTCTCTCAAATAAATAAATAAAATCTTTAAAAAAAAAAAATTGAAGTACTCCCTATTTGAAGAATTCCATTTGAGCATGTCTGCACTCACTTTCACCATGGTTTTATAAATGCCAATAATGCAATCCTTGGCCATGTTCTTCACAGATCACAGCCATGTATCTGCAGCCTTGCAGCCTGTTAGAGAGGTAGGACCCATACCCCTCTTATTTGCAACTGTACCCCCAGTGTCTGTTATAGTGCAGTCTCTACAAAATGATGAATAACTGAAATTTAGACTAGAATAATAGGTATATTTTTTCTTCACCTCAATTTTTTTGTAGTATTAGTTTTTGCTGCCATTATACCAGCCATTTCAAGGTTCAGTAACCGAAACCACCCTGAGTTCTTTTTATTTTGTTTTTGTTTTTTATAATTGACTTTTTACCCTAAGTATTAAAAGAGAAAGACGCCAAGATTTTCTCCTCTGTGAGAATATTTTTTACATTATTGTCATTGTACTTTGTGTCCATGACTCCTGAGGACACTCTGCAGTGAGCTTCTAGAATCTTGTCCTTTGTATGTAATGAGCTTTCCCAGGTAGTATTATCACCTACAACTCACCTAACTGGAACTCCCTCCTGGAACCATGGCTGAGTCATTTCCTCTCTTCAGTGTACCTTTGAAACTTCCTGTTTGTTCTATCTTTTCATCAGTCCTGTTCATCGCTCCTCCTCTCCCATTGATTCTCTTAGTTTCGGTATACTGCTGATGATCTTCAAGAGTACCTGTTCACATTAAATATAAATTTAGAATTTTAGGGTTTTTTTCCCTTTCCTGTTAGCTAACTTTAGACACCTGTGTGCTTATTCTATCTGACCAAAAAGGGATTTGTCATATTTGATGTTAGTATGTTATATCAGTAGAGGTATGTTAAAGAATTCCAGGCTTTTAAATAAGTCAGGAGTAGTTAACACTAAGATGTCTTCTTCCCAGTTATTGCAATACCTGATGTACAAAGAGTTTTGACCCTGCCTTTGAGAACTGAATCACTCCCTGTAATTACTCACCTGTACATCCAGTTTTACACCTTGCTGACTATAAACCTGACATCATTCTAACAAAGAGCTCAAACTGGTTCACAAACACTGATCTAGTCATCTTTTTGCATCATGTGGAAAGGTTGCAACAGGTACAATTATCTCCATGGGGAGATGAGGAAGCTGAGATAAGAGTTCTGGGTCACCCCTCAGGCCCTTAGTAAAATAGGAAGTGGGTCCTACTCGTATCAGTGAGTGTATATGTTTATTTGGAAACACAGTCTCCCTTCACTATTCTTCCTCCTACTGTCCTATCAGTGGCTCA